GCCTGATACGATGTACACGTTTTCCTCTGCGGCAATGGGCTCATTCGTCGTGTAAAAAAGTAGCTCCTCCCCCTCCTCTTCCTCCTCCCTCCCCCCCCCTCCCCCTCCTCCCACTCCTCCCCGGCGTTGCGGGGCTCACGCCCAAGAGATCTTGATGCCCTGGCTGGGCCCGAAAGTTCCGAGCTGGAACAAGGAAGCGGCTGACTATCCGTTTTCCGATTCAGCCTTAGAATTCTCCGTGGACTGCGGGGTGCAAGCAAGACTCTGCGCTCACACGAGAGTTCGCGCCGGTTTCTGGGGAGGCAATCGAAGAGCGCCCGCGCGCGCGCGAGGAGAGACCATTTCTGGGAGATCCCCTGGCGCAATCACAGCCCCCCCGCGCCTCTTTACAATCGCAGCAAAAAGACCGGCGCACGCGGGTCTTGAAATCTGGGACCCCAGGATCGTTCCCATTTTGCGTGATATCAATGTACACATATATATATATATATATATATGTGTATATGTATGTACAGATATGTAAATGAAATATAGTTAGCAGATCTGCATTGCTAAATCGGGGTGCCGCAGCAACCCTACGAACAAAAACAACAGTTCCAAATCCTGCGCCCTTGCGCGGACGTCCTGCGAAGCTCCGAGCTCCACATGGTGCGGCCGCGGCACTTTCGGAACGCCGAGAAAGGCCCGTTGTCGACCCTCTCGTCTTCATCGCCGACAGTTGCCATCATCTTTGCTGCTCTATTCCCGTGAGCTGTGGCTCAAGTACAACCTGTCGCTGCTGCGCTTCCCCTGTTCGCGACGATGGTGTTGGGGGGGCACGCCCAGGAGGGGTTGTGGGGCTCACGCCTAAGAGATGTTGATGCCCTGGCTGGATTTGAACATTTTAAGCTGGAGCAGGAAGGCGGCCGTAGGGATGCTTAAGAAGAAAGGTGGCGCGCCCGAGGACTCCGACAATGGCCACGAGGCAAGCCCTGGAGGCGCGCGCGCGCCTGTGCGCCTGTGCCAGGCCGGTTCAAGAAGTAATGATCTTGGTCGCGGCCACAGCGGTGGCGTCGCTTAGGCTGTTCCCTCAGCCGAGACGCCATGAGCCAAAGTGGTTATGGAGAGTTCCCCCAACTCCTCCTCCTCCTCCTCATCCTCCTCCATTCCTTGTCCTTATGAATAACTTCTCCCTGTCGCACTCCGAAGCTGGTTTTTAGGGCGGGCCAGACGTTTAGCAAGAGACTTTCTCACCATTTATGACCCTGAAGCTTAAACGATGACAAGAGCTTCACAGATGGAGGGCGGGTCGTTTTCAAAATGTGGTTCTCGCCTTGGTGCCGCGCACATTCGTTTTAAACGGATTGAGGGCGACTGGTTTTCAATATGTGGCTCTCGCCTTCGCGCCGCTCACATTCCTTTAAAACATTTGCAAGAATTTCACGGATTGCAGGCGGCTCCTCTTAAAAAATGTGGCTCCCGCCTTAGCGCCGCGTACATTCGTTTTAAAACTTTGCAAGATTTTCACGGATTCCCATGATCAACTTACCAGAATTATGTTTTGGAAGGATTCCGGATTATGAGGGTGCAACAACTACATTGATTCGCGATGTTGGTCCCAGGAATGGCGCTCTGGCACGATTCTGGATCGCCAAGACGCAACACCCAGGTTGATCCGTGGCGTTGTAATCCCAAGAACAATACATTGGCATGTTTCAGGGTCTTCAAACGGTGGTCTTCCAACATGGCAGCTCCCTCCGTGGAAATGACCCGTTGTAGGGGCCTATGAAGAGGGAGCTTGGAGGAAGGGTTTATCCCAAACTCGTTGATGACTCTTGGGTTTGCACTGGTCCTCCTCCTCCTCCCCCTCCTCCTCCTCCTCCCCCTCCTCCCCCTCCTCCTCCTCCTCCTCCTCCTCCTCCTCCCTCCTCCCCCCTCCTCCTCTCTCCTCCTCCTCTCTCCTCCTCCTCCTCCTCCTCCTCCTCCTCCTCCTCCTCCTCCTCCTCCTCCCCCTCCTCCTCCTCCTCCTCCCTCGGCGCCTGGAGCCGCTCCCGCGCTCGGCCCTCTCCTAGCTGGGGAGCGCCCGCGGAGCCTCCGGAGGCCAGAGCTCCAAGACGCAGGGCTGGGTCGGCTGTGAGGGGACGGGGGCGGCTGACGAGGGAGGGGCCAATTTGATCGCGCACAGTCGAGGCGTTGACCCAAGGAACCTTAAAGAAGGAACGAGGCCCCTATGTTCCATGAGTTAAACTTCGATCTCGTACCGAAGCCACAAGGACAATCCGAGGGGCATTCTGAGGCAAACTTTGAAACAATCAAGGAACATCGAGCCCCTCCCCAACGAAAAGGGTTCCTTCTTCGGGGCCCCGACTGCATGCCCACAGAGGTTGGCAGCAGGGGTTGGTTGGTGGGTGTTGTGCGTGCATTGACTCTGTTCGTGCCTGTGGCCGTCTTGGCTCCGCCGCGCTCACGGCGCCCCGGGCTCACTGTCGAGGCGTAGCGCTGGTAGGTATCGTCCCTGCCAGGCGGAGCACACGACGCATGAGAGCCACTTTGAAAAGGGAAAGGCATCAACAAAGGCATCAAAAAAGGCATCAAAAAAAGGGAAAGGATCAAAAAAGGCATCAAAAAAGGCATCAAAAAAGGAAAAGGCATCCGAAAAGGGAAAGGATCGCGGATTCTGGAGGCCTGGGAACCGACTCTGACCACAGCAGGGGGTTGCCTCCACCGGGGGAAGGTGATCCTAGATTTCGGTGCCGGTGGTAATCCGAATGAGGGGGCCGAACGGTCATTCACTGTCCCTGGGTGCATGGCTGAAGTGGGAGTCCGCGATGCGGACCCAACCCGCGACCCACCCACATTGTTTTAACAGAAAATCGGCGCCTGCGGCGGGCTCGTTGCATGTACAGCTTGAAAAAGTACGCGCCTGCGGCGGGCTTCTTCAGAGCCTCGCAGACCGCCGCCGCCCCCGCCGCCCCCTCACTATTATCTGCAACTGCGGGGTGCTACGTACTTCGGCCACCGAGGAAGCCCGAATATTACCACCACCGCCGAGATCGGCAGCATCCTCCCTGGGTGGAGGCGGTGTTTGTGACAACCTCTAGGCACTCTGAGGCTCGAGCGTAGCAGGTGTTTGAAGAGCTTCGTCCTTCCTGGTTCCCTGGGCTTCTCTGGAGCCGCTCAGGAGACCTCTGCAGACCTGGCGCCTTCCGGGGGGCTGCTGGAGGTGCCCCTGGCCCGAAGTGACCCAAAGGCCTTCCAGGGAGGCCCCCGCAAGGCCTCCAGGACGCCCCCCCCCGCAGGGCACAGGAGGCCCCCCCAGCGGCGCCTCAGTCACGCCCCCACTCGAGGAGGAAGAAGACATCCACTGGCAAGGCTTGGATTTACACACACACATGCAGTCGGGGCGTTTGACCTAAGGAACCCTGAATGAGGAACGAGGCCCCTTCTTCTCACAAGTCAACCCTCGATTCCCCACGGGAAACCTCCGGAAAACCCAATGCAAAAACTGTGAACTTGCCGTCGCTCGGACGTCCATTGCCCGTGCATTTTTTGGGTCGTGTGCGTGTTTTTTTTGCCCGATGGTCCAGGATGGTCCCCGATGCTCCTCGCCGAGAAAACATGCACACGTCCGAGCGCTGCCAAGTGACGCAATCGAGGCACACCGAGCCCCTCCCCCAACGAACCCAGACCCCCGACGTCATGATTTTTTCATGACGTCGACCCCCCGAGGTCTCGACCCATTCCCCGGGACCGGTTTTTCGTTCCGAGTCGTTTTCTGACGGTCCCGAGGGCCGGCAAGGGCCCCCAGAGGCCAAAAATAGCGAAAAACCTCCCGTCGTGATTTCTTCATAGCTCGAGGGGGTCTGGGCAAGAGGGCTCCCCCGCTCCCGCGCCCCGGCCGTGCAGCCCCCCCGGGGGTGGCCTGGCGCCGCCTCGGCCGGCGCCCCGGGAGCACCCCGCGCCGCGGGGCCCAGGGCGCGGGGCCGCCCCGGGGGCTGACCCGGGGGCCCGTCGAGCCCCGCCGGGGCCACCCATGCGGATCGGGGAGACGCAAGACCCGGGTACGGGGGACTCGGAAATCCCCGACGAGGTCGTCAACAAAAATGACGAGGCCGAGCCTGCATTTTGACGAGGCCTCCCGCGGCAGACCTCCCACGAAGCTCCTCCTCGTCAAAGTCCGAGTCGCGGTCGTCGAAAAACGATGGCGAACCCGAGTCCTGGCAACCCCGGGTCTTGCGCTCCCCCGAGCGGAGCAGGGGCCGACCGCCCCGGCATGCTCGGGTCGGGCGAAAGGGGGGGGACTATAGCAAGGGGGGGGGGGGTGAGACTCAGCTCACCCAGACCCCCTCGAGTTATGAAAAAATCACGACGGGAGGTTTTTCGCCATTTTTGGCCTCTGGGGGCCCTCACCGGCCCTCGGGACCGTCAAAAAACTACTCAGGACGAAACACCGGTCCCGGGGAATGGGTCGAGACCTCGGGGGGTCGACGTCATGAAAAAATCATGACGTCGGGGGTCTGGGCACGTAGCTGCTTTTCCCGGCGCCTCCCAGCGCCGGAGGCGGCTACGTATCGAGGCATTGGGCCCCTCGGCGAGGCCGAGACCAGCTGCATGCAGCAAATTTTGTACCCCCCCCCTTTCCCAATCCCCCCCTTCCGTCCGGCCCGACATTCCTACAGTCCTGCCACGAAATGTTCTTAGAGCCCACAGGTGTTTGAAGAACAAAAGCAGTGTCCTAAGAACATGAGCCCGATGTGTTCAAACAGGACAGTCCCAGCCAGAACTGTTCTAAGAACATTTCGTGGAAATCACAGAAAAGTGCTTAGAACAATGTTTGGTAGGGCTATAGGCACGCAGGGACGCTTCGCCACTGCTTGACTATGGGGGCTGTATGTGCGCAGCCCGGCCAAAGCCTCGCCAACATCCACGCCAGAGCTTGAGCAACCAGATTGAACATGTTGGGCCCTTTGGGAACGTCGGGGGGAGGGTCCGCTGGCAGCGACACATCTCCCGCCGGGCGCCTCCGATTACCACTGGTGCAGGTTGCGAAATTGCTTCTCATTCCTGGCCGGCTCCGTCGGGAAGGCGTAGTGCTTGGCCCCCTGGATGTAGCAGGATGAGCCTGGGAGGAGGGGGGAAGAAGAGATGGACAAGCGCCTGGCTTTGAGGGTTCTGAGGTAGTCGCCCCGCCGACTGCCCCCCGGCCGGAGGCTCTGACTAGCTCTGCGCCGCCGGATCTGAAGGGAGCGGCTTGGAGAGCAGGGCCAGGGCGCTGGTGCACGCGAGCACCTCGAGGCCCCGTAGCTCTTCTTGCCGTCGCTCGGACGTCCATTCCCCGTGCAATTGTTCGGTTTCGTGCGTGTGTGTTTTTTGCTCGATGGTCCAGGATGGTCCTCGACGGTTCTCGCCGAAAAAAGATTATTCACTGCGTGGAGCTCCCCATATGTGCATCTACTCGCATGGACCTGTCCGCCGTGAATGTCTAGACGCAAGAGCTTTCGAATATTAACGGGCTTCAGTTGTGACGGTCTGGACATCAATCTAACTGCGAATGAATTGGAGTGTGAATGAGCCTCAGTAGTACGAGCGCGTCTCTGTGCATGAGCCTGGGGCCTCCTGGGGCCTCCTGAAACCTACTGGGGCTTCCTGGGGTCTCCAGGAGCCTCTTGGGACCTCCTGGGACCTCCTAGGAAGGTTTCGTGCCCCAGGAGAGGCGCAATCTATAGCAACAGACGTACATAAAACATTGCGGATTAGAGCCACAGGAGAAGGGCAATCTATAGGAACACGCGTAAAACACCAAGGACTCGTGCCCCAGGAGAGGCCCAATACATAGGAACATGAGTAAAACATTTAGGATTGTGTACACAGGAGAAGGACCATCTATAGAAACATACGTAGAACATCAAAGAATCGTGCTCCAGGTGAGGCCCAATCGATAGGAGCATACGTAAAACACATGGGATTGGAGCCACTCCTGTTGCCTTCTGAGGCCTCCTGCTCCTGGGGCCTCTCGGGGCCTCCTGTTGCCTTCCGAGGCCTCCTGGCGCTTCCTGTTGCCTCCTGGGGCCTCCTGTGGTTTCCTGAGGCCTTCTGGAGCTTCCTGGGGCCTCCTGGAGCCTCTTGGGACATCCTGTGGCCTCTTGAGTCTTTCTGTGGCCTCCTGATGCCTCCTGGGACCTCATGTCCTGGGGCCTCCTGGAGCCTGTTGGAGCCTCCTGTGGCATCCTGAAAAGAATCTGCGCCCACGAGCCTGGCCACCAAAACAAGCAAACCGATCGAGACATCCTCAAAATCTGGCCCACCTGGGGGGTGAAAATGAGCGCCTCGCTCGAGACATCCTCCAAATCTGCTCCGAAAGCGAAGGATGTTGGGCCCAGAAACAAGCAAACCGCCTGAGACATCCCCACAAAATGGCCGCGAACGAGCCCGTGCAACCACCCCTGGCGGCTCCCCTTAGGGGTGCTGAAACGAGCGCCTCGCTCGAGACATCCTCCAAATCTGCTCCGAAAGCGAAGGATGTTGGGCCAGAAACAGGCAAACCGCCTGAGACATCCCCACAAAATGGCCGCGAACGAGCCCGTGCAACCACCCCTGGCGGCTCCCCTTAGGGGTGCTGAAATGAGCGCCTCGCTCGAGACATCCTCCAAATCTGCTCCGAAAGCGAAGGATGTTGGGCCCAGAAACAGGCAAACCGCCTGAGACATCCCCACAAAATGGCCGCGAACGAGCCCGTGCAAACACCCCTGGCGGCTCCCCTTAGAGGTGCTGAAATGAGCGCCTCGCTCGAGATGTTGGGCCCAGAAGCAGGCAAACCGCCTGAGACATCCCCACAAAATGGCCGCGAACGAGCCCGTGCAAACACCCCTGGCGGCTCCCCTTAGGGGTGCTGAAATGAGCGCCTCGCTCGAGACATCCTCCAAATCTGTGTATGAGTAAGTCTGTTTATGAGTAAGTCTGTGTTTGAGTATGTCTGAGTGTGAGTAAGTCTGAGTATGAGTAGGTCTGAGTATGAGTAAGTCTGAGTATGAGTAAGTCTGTGTATGAGCAAGTCTGAGTATGAGTAACTCCGACAGGAGGGGAGGAGGAAAGAGGAGGAGAAAGAAGGAGTAGGAGGCGTCCAAGTAATAACAAGAACCCCATCTTAGGATATGGGGAAAAAACACACACGTCCGAGCGATGCCAGGTTGGCTGTCTCCATGCCCCTTGCTCCCTCCCCATGGGGTCCAAGATCCCGCTAGAGGGGGGGGGGGGGGGGGGGGCGAGCTCCTGGGCGCACCGTCCTGGTCCCTAAGGGGCCTCCAGATCCAGCCACCGCGGCCTCCACGATCCTCCGAAGCTGCCCTCTGAGGTGCCTCAAGAGGGGCTCCAACGCGCCGGAGAGGCCTGGAAGACCCACAATGAGGGCCCAAGAGGATCCCCAAGACGGACTCGAGAGGCACAAATCATTGATTGTCCTAGGGCTTTCCAGTGGTGTTCGCAATCCCGCCATTTCGAAGTGTCCTCGCACCTCGAGACGGCCTAGAAGCTCCGCAGATTGGCCCAGGACGGCCGCAGAGGGAAGGATGAGGACGGGAAGGAGGATGGGGACGAGGATCGCACGTACCCCGAGAGAACGGAGCACGTGTTATCTTGTATGGAGTACCCAAGGCTGGGTGAGGGGGAGAAGGAGGAGGAGCTGCAGGTCAAGTCTTCGTATTATCACGTCGCCAGAATCAGACTGCCACGTCGCCAAGCGTCCTGAGATCAGCACCTAGTCGGCACAAGATATCATACATCATGCCGACAATATCTTTCCACAACGTCCTACCCCCCTATCGGCACCCAGACCCGGGACGCGCTCTGGCTAAGAATTTCGAGGCGCACTCAGCCGTTGCAGCGATTTCGCTTCGGGAGCCCACCCCAAAATACAATGAAACAAAAACGGCAGCTCCATCTTCGTGGATGATGTCCACGAGGCCGGCTCCAGAGACCCCGAGTCCCAGATACTGAAACCTCCTAGGGTGCGCTGCCTCTGGTTTCCCCGCCGTCCGCTGACCGTCCGCTGGCGAAGCAGCCCCCGATTTCTTTCCGCCTGCGCCGCAGAAGAGAAATCAACTTCTCGATCCACCAGAAACCGAGGCCCTGTTCGAGGTGATTCCGTGCCCCCGCTGTGGAGACCTCGAACCCCAAACAAACTGACACCTGTTGGGGGGCGCACCCTTTGCTTCCGCCGCCTTCCGCCGACATTCCGCCGACCTTCTGCCGGCGGCGCCGCTCCCGTACTGCTTCCGCAGGCCTTCCGCCAGCTTCCGAAAGGGCCGCCAATCTCCACCTGGGAGGTCGAACTCCCGTCCTGGATGCGTTGCTCTCCACACGGTGCTTGCACCGAAGGGGTTCTCCACGACTTGTGCTACAAGGAACTGGGCTGGTCCGCCCCGTCGCCCCGTCGCCGCCCGTCGCCGCCCGTCGCTGGGCTGGCCCGCCGCCCCAGCCGTTTCGTGGTCGCCCCGCCGCTTCCCCGTCGCCGCCCGTTGCCGCCGCTCGTCTGGGCTGGTCTCTCGCCCCAGCCGGCCTGTGGTGGCCCCGTTGCCGCCCCGGCGCCGTTCGCCGCCACCCGTCGCTGGGCTGGTCTGCAGCCGCGGCCGTCCTGTGGCCGCCCCGTCGACTCCCCGTCGCCGCTCGTCGCCGCCCGCTGCCGCCGCCCGCGTGGGCTCGTCTGCCACCCCGCTCGTCTCGTGGTCGCTCCGCCGCCAGCCCGTCGCCGCTCGTCGCCGCCCGTCGCCACTTCGAGGTCGCCCGTCTCCTCCGCCAACAGATCTTCATGTTTCAAATCGGAACTCGAATCTACAACCCGCCCTGGGGGGATCCCCCTAGGAGTGTACAATTTGCACACGATGTTGCCTCCTCGTTCACTTGCCACATGAAATCCTACAGTCCCAGACGGGCCGGCATCGACTGGCCCCGCCGTCCCTGTCGAATCAAACCAGACGCGTGCACTCGTTTATCACACAACATCATTTCAAGAACCCTTTGAATCAAAAACGAAATGCACACGCGCGCGTCGTCTCGCGCGCATGCCACCATCTTTGAAAAGCCTGAGTATCCGTCAAGATGTCACAATCGAATGGTCACGAAACATATAAACAACCAATGGTTTTGCAACATGAGTTGCGAACCTGATATTGTCATGAACCCCGACCTTGGAGGACAAGTGGGCGTGACTTGCGAGGAAGGGAAAAACAAAAGAGAGGATGCCTATAGGGCGCATGATGCTGATTCCCGTGTTGTCCGTTTGACGCTGTGCCGCATTCAAGCGCATTATGTTGGTTCCCGTGCTGTCCGTTTGATGCTGCACTACTTTGTCGGGCCTTCCCGACCATATTGGAGCCGTGTCGGGCAGTCTTCGGGCCCTGGAGCGTCTCCGACCATCTCGGGGCCCTCTTAGGCCAGTCTTGGGGCCCTCTTGGGGGTCCCTGGGGGCTTCCTGGAAACTTCTTGGAGTCTTCTTGGGGCCTCTTGGAGCCTCTTACGACCTCCTGGGGATTCTTTGGGCGGAGAGCCCGAAATGTCGGTCTCTGCCCCCCCGTCTGGGGCCGTTCCTGAAGCGTTCCTGGGGCCGTCTTAGCTCGTCTTGTGGGCGTCTTAGGCTGTCTTGGGGGCGTCTTCGACCGTCTGGGTGCCCTCCTGGGAGACTATGTGGGGTCTCTCGGGCCGCCTTGGAGCGTTATGAAGCCGGAAAGCCGAAAACAGAGAAGAACTGAAAGAACATAAGGAAATCAATGAGTTTGGACTCTTGGGGGTCTCTTGGGAGACCTCTTGGAGGACAAGTGGGCGTGACTTTCGAGGAAGAGAACAGCAAAGAAGAAGATGCCCATAGAGCGCGTGATGTTGATTCCTGTGTTGTCCGCGTGGGGCTGTGACGCTTTGTCGGGGCGTCACCAGCCATCATGGGGTTCTCTCCGGGGGGTTGGGGGCCGTCTTGGAGGCTTCTGGGGGGTTCCTGGAGGCCTCTGCGAGGCTTTTCGGGGCCTCTTGGAGGCCTCTTGGGGGCCTCCTGGGGGCCTCTTGGGGCCTCCTGGGGGTCTCTTCGGGCGGGGAGCCCGAAATGTCGGTCCCTGCCTCCTCTCTGGGGGCTCTCTTGGAGCGTTCCTCAGCCCTTCTGAGGCCGTCTTGAAGGCCGCTGGGGCTGTCTTGAGGGCGTCTTGGACCGTTTGGGCGCTGTCTTGGGGGCCTCTTAGGCCGTCTTGGCGGGATCTTTGGGGTGTCTTGGGTCGTCTTCGAGCGTCGGGAAGCCGAACAGGCGAGAACGCGGAAAACCGACAGAAATATAAGGAAAGTCCATGAATTTTGACTCTTGGGGCTCTCCCAGGGAGCCTCTTGGAGGCCTCCGAGACCGTCTTCGGGGCTCCCTGGGCCGTCTAGACCGCTCAGTTGGCGGCACGTGGCCCTCTGTCCTTTTGAGGCTGTGGTGCTTTGGGGGGGCGTCGGCAGCCATCCTGAGGCACTCTTCGGGAGTCTTGGGGCCCTCTCAGGGGCCTCTGGGGCCTTCCTGGAGACATCTTTGAGACTTCTCGTGGCCTCTTGGAAGCGTCGTTGGGGTCCCTGGAGGTTTTTGGCATCTCCTGGGGGTCTCTTGGGGCGGGAAGCCCGAAAAAAGGCACCCTACCCTTCCTCTGGGGATCCTCTTGGAGCGTTCCTGGAGCCGTCCGAAGCCGTCTTGGAGGCCTCCTGGGCCGTCGTGAGGGCGTCTCAGACCGTCTGGGCGCTCTCTCGGGGCGTCTTAGGCTGTCTCGGGGCGGTGTTTGGGTGCTCTTGGGTCGTCTGGGAGCGTCGGGAAGCCGAACAGGCGAGAAGGCAGAAAACCTTCGAAAAACCGCAGGACAACCACCAAATTTTGTCGCTTCGGGTTCTCTTGGGGAGCCTCTTGGAGGCCTCTCGGGCCGTCTTAGGGGACTCCCGGGGCCGTCCGGACCGATCCGTCGGCGGCTAAAGACCGAAATATGGGTCCCTGCCCTTCCTCTGGGAGTCCTCGTGGAGCGTTCATGGAGCCGTCTGAAGCCGTCTTGGAGACCTCCTGGGCCGTCGTGAGGGCGCCTTGGGCCGTCTGGGCGCCCTATTGGGGGCGTCTTAGGCCGCCTTGGGGCGGTGTTTGGTGGGTGCTCTTGGGTCGTCTGGGAGCGTCGGGAAGCCGAACAGGCAAGAAGGTGAAAAACCTTCAAAAACCGAGGGAAAACTACAGAATTTTGTCGTTTGGGGCTCCCTTGGGGTGCCTCTTGGAGGCCTCCCAGGCCGTCTTAGGGGACTCCCGGGGCCGTCCGGACCGATCAGTCGGCGGCTAAAGACCGAAATATGGGTCCCTGCCCTTCCTCTGGGAGTCCTCGTGGAGCGTTCACGGAGCCGTCTGAAGCCGTCTTGGAGGCCTCCTGGGCCGTCTTGAGGGCGTCTTGGGCCGTCTGGGCGCCCTATTGGGGGCGTCTTAGGCCGCCTTGGGGCGGTGATTGAATTCTCTTGGGTCGTCTGGGAGCGTCGGGAAGCCGAACAGGCGAGAAGGCGAAAAAAACCATTGAAAACCCACACTTGCGCTGGCTGCGATCAAAATCTGGCGAAAGATCCGGGCAAGGATCCAGAGGCTTAGAAACTGGTTCAACTTTTTGGAATTCGGAGTTGGAATTTTCATAAATTTCAGGGAGCACTAAGCCGGGCAACGCCTAAACGGGGTAACAGACCCACCATGGGATCCAGGTGGAAAAACTGCAACGACCAGAACAACAAACATGCACTGCATTTTTCTGCAACGCCAAAAAATGCACTGAAAATTGTTGGCAACTAATTGCGGAACAACTGCAAACAAGCCCCACAGACCGGGTAACAGAGGACCCAAAACAAAAAATTGCAGTGCAGCAGCCGAAAATGTGCAACGCAGCCAGCATGTGGAAGGTGCTGCATCGAACGCGAAAGCAAAAAAACTGCACTGCAACAAATGGGCCATTTGATGCCTCGAACCGGCCGTTTCCTGTTACCCCGTTTGCTGTTACCCCGTCTCTGGCTCCCTGAAAACTGTGAGACCCAGCTTGGCCAGGGGGTGCTTCTTAACAGACGATAGCAGTGCAAGGCCAGGTGATTTTAGCATTGGGTGAACTTCACGGGGTCAATATGGGACCGTCTCCAAAACAGCGGCTTATTCTAGTGCGTCCTTTGCCTAGGCAAGTGCGCTGCCCATTTTTTATGCACGGGTTTGTTTTTCGTGGAAAAAAACTAAGTGAAATAACAGCTGCGTTTGGTGGCGAGTCCTCTGCCTCTGTCGGCGTGGGCGTCTCCTCACGTCGGCGTGGACCTGGCGTCTTCTGGGGTCGTCTCTGAAGCAGCGGCGTCTTGTAGCGCGTCTCTTGCCTGTGCCAGTGCGCCGTTTCTTATTTAGCCTGGGCTGGCGCGTTGTCAAAACAGCGGCGTTTTGCAACGCCTCCTCTGCCTGTGTCGGTGTGGGCGTTTCCTCTTCGGCGTTGCTGCGTGGTCCTGGAGTCGCCTGGGGCCGAATCACAAACAGCGCGCTTTTTGTAGCGCGGGGATTTTCGTGTTTTTCTTCTTCTCTGCTCGCGTTCTTCTTCCTTCTTTCTGTTTTTTTCATTGCCTCGCCCCTTCCCTTGGTGCTTCTCTCGTTTGTGGTGGACGAGGATGGGTTTTTCGAGCGACCTGGTTGCTACTAAGAGGAGGAAGACGAGGAGGACGATGACGAGCAGCAGGAGACGGACGAGGACGAGGAGGACGTCGGGGACGAGGAGGGGCAGGACGAGGACGAGGTGGACGAGAACGGAAAGGAGGGCCTCGACTACGAGGGGAGGACAAGGGGGACGGACAAGCAGAGGAGGACGGAGGAGGGCGGAGACGGTAGAAAACATAAGTAAATTCGCTAACATGTCACGTAATCTCATGGTGACTTAGGCGCCGGTTGAGTTAGGTGGGTTGAACACCGGGTGAGTTCGGCACCAGGTGAGTTAGGGGCTGGGTGCCTTATGCCCCAGGTGAGTTTGAAACCGAGTGGGCTGGCTGGGTTATTTGGCTGGGCGAGGTAGGCGCCGGTGACCCAGGCGCCGAGTGAGAGAGGCGTTGGGTGAGTCAGGTGCCAGTACGCCGTTTCTTTTTCAGCGTGGGTTTGAGTTTTTTTGACAGCTGCGTTTGGCAGCGAGCCCCTGGCGTCGTCTGGGGTCGTCTCAGAAGCAGCGGCGTCTTGTAGCGCGTCTCTTGCCTGTGCCGGTGCTCGGTTTCTTCTTCAGCCTGGGTTGGCGTGTTCTCAAAGCAGTGGCGTTTTGTAGCGCCTCCTGTGCCAATGTCAGTGTGGGCGTTTTCTTTTCGGCGTTGCCGCGTGGGCCTAGAGTCATCCAGGGTCCATCCACAAACAGCGGCATTTCGTAGCGCGTCTCCTACCTGTGCCAGTGCGGCCGTTTCTCGTCCAGCGTGGGTTGGGCTGTTCTGGAAAGCAGCGGCGTTTTGTGGTGAGTCCTCTACGTGTGTCCGTGTGGGCGTTTTCTCTTCAGCGTGGACCTGGACTCGTCTGAGATGTCCAAAATTGGCGGCGTTTTGTAGCGCGTCTCTTCCCTGTGCCAGTGCGCCGTTTCTTCTAAATCGTGGGTTGGGGGCGCTCTCAAAAACAACGGCATTTTGTAGTGCCTCATCTTCCTGTGTCGGCGCGGTCGTTTCCTCTTCAGCGTGGTCTTGGAGTCGTCCGAGCCCGCGGAGGAGGGAGAGAAGGACGGACGGAGACGCACGAGCTCAGCACTGGGTGAATTCGTCACAAAGTGGGTTAGGGGTTGGGTGCTTGATAACCCGGGTGAGTTTGGCATCGGGCCCGATGGGTTGGGAGCTGGGTGAGTTAGTTGCGGAGGAAGGTGAGTCAGGCGCCGGGGGAGAGAGGCGCTTGAGTCATGCGCCGGGTGAATTAGACGCGGGGTGGACTAGCCGCCGGGTGATTTAGGCGCCGCACGAGTCAGGCGCTGGGTGATTTTGACACCGGGTGAGTTTGGCACCGGGTGAGTTTGGCACGGGAAGAGTTAAGCGTCGGATGAATCAGGCGCCGTGTGAGTCAGGAGGCGCCGGGTGGGTCGGGCGCCGGGTGAGTCAGGCGCCGGGTGATTTCAGCGCCGGGTGAGTTAGACGCTGGGTGAGTTAAGCGCCAGATGAACTCAGCGATGGGTGAGTAAGGCCGTGCAAGTTAAGGATCGGGTGAGTTAGACTGGGCGACTTAGGGATAGGGGGAGTTACATCGGGTGCGCAGAAAAAATACGTGAGATAGGCGCGGGTAAATTAAGCTTCCAATAAGTCAAATTTCGGGTGGGTCACCGGGTTAATCAAACATCGGAAACATTTGGTGAATTAGCCCGGTTTCCAACAACAAACCCCTCGTTCCCTCGAGGGCGACTGAAGCCTTTTCAGCCACCGACGTACGTTGGTTCACAGCCCCACTGGCCTCGCGAAGGCGAGGACGCGCCGGAGGCCGTTGCGGAAGCGCTTGACATCATGATGGAGCCACTGGGACTTCCCAGTGCGACCTGCGGGCAGGAGGAGGAATCCAGAGTGAGCCAGAGATGGACAATATACAAACCATACTACAAGGCACCCTTCCGTCCCAATTCCCCTCCCCTTGCGCCCCTACAAATCCCTGTTCCCCCTCGAAGAAGCGCCCCCCTCGAAAGACCTGCACGATTGGGCTGCCATTTGGGCGAGGGCCCCACTTTGAAAAGGAACGGCTTTGCACCTCTCCTGCGCGTAGCCAAGAACGCAACAAAAACACTCTGACGGACGGCCCAACATGATAATCTTCTTACCATGAGCGTCATCATCGTCGACGACAATCGATGTTGATGATGCCAAGATGCCAGGAAATCAGGATGCAACCTGCGAGGCCGTTGTAACCTGTCGGGACCTCGGGGCTTTGACACCTGCAGGGCTTGTGGGACCTGTGGGACCTGTGGGACCTGCGGGACCTGTGCGACCTGTGCAGCCTGCGGGACCTGTGGGACCTGTGGGACCTGGGGGTCCTGCGGGACCTGTGGGACCTGTGGGGCCGCTGGAACTTGCAGGACCTGTGGGGCCCGTGGGACCCGTGAAACTTTTGGAGCCCGTGAGACCTGTGCGGCCTGCATGGTTTGTTGGACCCGTGGGTCCTGTGGCACTTGCGAGCTCCGCAGAACGTGTGGAGCCCGTGGGACCTGTGGGGCCTGTTGGACTTGAGAGGCCTGTGGGACCTGAGGGGCCTGTGGCACCTGTGGCACCTGTGGGACCTGTGCGACCTGCGGTGACCTGTGAGACTGGTGAGGCGCACGCAACTTGTGGGACCTGCGGGATCTGTGTGGCCTTTGGGACCCGTGGGCCGTGTGGGACCTGGTGGACCTGTGCGCCCTGCGGGAACCGTGGGCCCCGTGAGTCGTGGTCGGCCGCTTGGCCCTGTGGGACCTGCGTAACCTCTGCGCCCCCGACTCCCGCTCGAGGCTTTTTCGCTATCCACTCACAGACGAGGCCCCCGCTCGAGAAGTCCTCGCGATTTGCCCCCTTGGGGTGCTCAAGCGATACGGTTGCTAGAATGGGCCGATGACCTGCTGGTGTTCAACGCATGAAGCGGGGACCCCATAGGGAGATGATTCCCGTTCGAGACTTCCTCGCTAGTTACTCACAGACGACGCCACCGCTCGGGACATCCTCATGATGTGCCCCATTGGGGTGCTCAAGTGCTATGCCTGCTGCAGTGGGCCGATGACCCGACCAGCATGAGGCGGGGATCCCATATGAGAGAGCTACCGTGCAAGACTTCCTCGCTAATCACTCACGAACGAGGCCACGGCTCGAGACATCCTCATGATTTGCCCTTGGGTTGCTCAAGCGTGTGCCTGCTACAATAAGCCGATGACCCGCTGGGCTTACCAAGTTGAAGCGGGGGCCCCACAGGGAGAGGTCTCCCGCTCGACACTTCGGTGGGTGGACAAAAAGTGTCCACACCCATCGCGCCAAGATGATACGACATCGAACTGCGTCAAACAAATATCCATAGCCCCCGTCCCCCCCAACTCAAAGTTGACGGGGTTGGGTGCAAGGCAGCGCGCGGGGGACAAAACATGTACATTCCAACTTTGGGTTTGGGGGTGAGGAGGGGCGAGCCACATGTATATTGCACTTGTCGTTGCCATCGTGCCCGATTGTCTTCGCGCCGTCGGCGTGGACACTCCTTGTCCGGGCACCGGTCCTCGCTCAATCACTCACAGACGAGGCCCCGACCGAGACATCTTTACGACATGCCCCCTTGGGGTGCTCAAGTGCGATGCCTTCTGCATTGAGCCGATGGCCCACTGGGATTACCAAAATGAAGCGGGGACCAAATAGGGAGAGGGAGAGGGCTTCCCCTCGAGACTTCCTCGCTGCGCCCTCACAGACAAAGGCCCCGCTCGAGGCATCCTCGCGAGTTGCCCCCATTGGGGTGCTCAAGCGCTACGGCTTCTACAATCAGCCGATGACCCGCTGGGACTACCAAGATGTGGGGGCCCCCAAGGGAGAGGGCTTCCGCCCAAGACTTCCTCGCGCTTCATTCGCTCACAAATGCTGCTCCCGCTCCAGACTTCCCTGACGATTTGCGCATTGTGGTGTTCCAGTGCGACGCCTGCTGCAATAGGCCGATGGCCCGCTCGGGTCACCAACACGAGGCGCGAACCCCATGGGGAGAGGCCTCCAGCTCGAGACTTGGTCTCGCCCTTGCACTCACACATGAAAACTGCCGCCCGGAACGTCCCAACCATGCCCACGTTTTACGTGGTGTGCCCCGCCTCGGATTGCCAGCAATGACGTGGAGACGTCGTGAGGAGGGGCTTGCGCTCGACACTGCCCCGTGCTTCGCTCATGCAGTCAAAACGTATAGTAATAAGGACGCGTGGCAAGGACGCAAGACCCTTGGAGGCCGAAGCTGGGACTTTTTGTTGGGCGGCGGCGACCAGGGAGAACGGCAGAGGACGGGCCACGGAGGCAAGGACGCGAGGGCACCCTGGACGAAGGCGCGCGTCCCTACTGGGCGCGCTGACTGCACCAGCACGACGTGGAGACGTCACGAGGAGGGGCTTGCGCTCGACACTTCCTCGTGACTCGCTCCTACAACGAGCGAACACGCCCGGGGACAGCCTCCCAACTCGTTCCGATCCGAGGCTCGCGCGCTCGAGGCGTCCTCGGGCGTCGGGCTCCCCCGGGGGGGCGGCGTCCGAGGGCCGCCTCGAAGTTTACCAGCACGAGGTCTTGCCGCCGCTCGGACGTCCCTCTCCCGTGCCTTTGTTCGGTCTCGTGCGCGTTTTTTTTTTGTTTGCTCGCTCGATGGTCCAGGAGGGTCCTCGATGGTTCTCGCCGAGGAAAAAAAACACACGTCCGAGCGATGCCAGGAGGTGGGGGCCTCTCAGGGAATGGGGCTCCCGCTCGAAACAGCTTCGCTCGTCCCTCACAAGCGAAGCCCCCGCTCGAGGCTTCCTCAAGACGAATGCCCGACTGCGTGCGCAGGCGTGAAGGTGTACACCGATGACGGCGATGCTGGCGGGGAAAAGAACATGAATCTGAGCATGATGGTGTTGATGGCGATGATGGCGATGCTGGCGCTGGCGGTGATCATGATGGTGATGATGACGATGATGACGATGATGATGATGATGATGATGATGATGATGATGATGATGATGATGATGATGATGATGATGATGATGATGGTGATGATGACGATGATGATGACGACGAGGATGATTCTCCCTCCGCGGCGCAGGCGAGCGGCCTTCGCGCGACGGCCGCCAGGTGAAAGGGGGGCCCACACAGCGAGGCCCACGGCGCGCGCGCGCGCGGGCCGAGCGGCGCTGCACGGGTGAAAAGAGGCCGGACGGTAAAAGGACCACAGCCGCTGCTTCTTTTGTTTGCGCCGCCTTCCAGCCGGCCGAACAAGAAGCAGTGGCTGTGGCCCTTTCCCTGGTGCCAAAAGCCCAACGAAATTTTGACCACAGCCGCTGCTCTGTCTCTGCGGGCTGTGGAAGGCGGCAACAAGAGAAAAGCAGGGGCCGTGGTCGCTCCCACGCCCCGTACAAAGATCCACCCGGGCCCCGAAGGTCGGCGCCGGCAGCAGCGCCGGCCGACCTCGGCAGAGAGGGCGGAGAGAGGGCGGGGGCCGAGAAGCTGCAGAGAACGTCGGGCCCGAGCGGCAGGGAGTATCAGAGAGAGCACTCTCCCGCCACGGCGCCGGCCAGCAGTCTTCGCGCGGCCGCCGCGGCCGGCGCGCGCGCGGGGGGCGCGGGCGAGGGCGGGCCTGCCGCACGCGGCTCGGGCCGAGCGGCCCCGCCCGGGTGCAAAACTCCACCCGGGCACCGAAGGGCGGCGCCAGCAGCGGAGGCCTGGAAATGGGCACCAACACCAGGACAGGGGGTTGCCTCCACAGGGGGAAGATGATCCTAGCTCTTCGGTGCTGGTGGCAGTAGTTCGGCCACCTTGGACTCCAGAACATTACCACCATCGCCGAGATCGGGATCTTCTTCCCCCGGTGGAGGCACACCGCCGAAATTGGTGTTGGTGTCGATCTCTAGGCCTGTGACAGCAGCCATGCCCAGGATCGAAGCCCCTGCGCAGTGACAAGGTTCCGGCGGGCGGCCGCAGTCGGAGTTGACCGCGCTGAATGGCCAACTCCAAAGGAAAGGCGCGATGAAAAGGCCGCGAGTAGCAGCGCAGAACGCAACGCGCGCACGCGCAAGAGCAGGGAGGGCGGAAAGGACCGTCGAGGCGGCGGCGGCTTGAAGATAGCGCTCTGCGCTGGAAGCTTGACGCCACCGTCCACGCCAGAAGACGCACGGCACGTCTTCCGTGGCCGCGTAGGAATCAATCGCCTCTGAATCCCGCAAGCAGGCTGGCGCTAGATTCAGCCCGGAGGCCGCTTTGGGAAGCGGGGCGCCCAAATCCAGAAGCATGGGTTTCCGCCAAGCACGGGGGCCGCTTTGCCCGAAGGTCGCGCGCGGTTCGGTGGAGCCCAAATGCCGATTTACCAATTCCACGAGCCTCGCCGAGGACTTGTCCGAGCAGCGCGCGTGCTGCGTCGGGATGGCGCGGCGGCCCTTCGGCGCCACCATGGAGAGAAAGGCATCGCCGCTGGTATCCGAACGATCGCTAGGCAGCGAGGACTCGCATCGGCGCGCTCCCAGAACTTCGCCAGGGCGAAGGAGCATTGCAACACCGATCAGCAGCAGCGCTGTCATCAGTGGCCAGTCCCAGAGCCGACAGAGGCCCGCCACGGCGCGAGGGGGCGCACGGGGCAGTGGATGGCAGGGCGAGGGAGGCCCGGCAGGGCAAGCAACGACAGCAAAGCTAGCCAATGAGGGTGCTCGGCCTGGATGCCCAGGATGGCATGCACCAGCGCGTAAGTGCGGAGGCCCCGCATCGTGGAGACGCGCGCCGGAAACGCGCCTGCGCCGAGAGTGCAGCGGCCCGCTGCGGCGCGGCGCGGCGGGTGCGGCGCGCGAGGTGCTCTACGAGCTGCAGCTCGAGGGCGCCGACGGACTTCGAGCGCCGAGCGGGGCAAGGAGACGAGGCGCGATCATCGCGCGCGGACGGAGCGCGCGCGGCACGGGGGCGCGCGAAGCTGAGCCCCAGGCCCGGCGCCGCGGGGGCGGCGGCTGCAGCGGCAGGGGCAGCCGCAGTGGCAGGCGCTGCAGCCGCAGAGGCAGCCGCAGTGGCAGTGGCAGGTGCAGAGGCCGCGTGCGCACACGCACACGCACACTCACGCGCACGCACACTCACACACTCACGCACAGACACGCACACACACACACACACTCACACACACACACACTTTTTACTTTTTGGTCGGCGGGGCGAGAGCGAACCTCTTCCGCTAAAAGCTAGGCGGGCTACGCGCAGCCTTAATCAGGGAGACAGGGCACAGGAAGGCGGGGCCTCAGGCGGCCGGAGCAGGCGGAGCCGGGGGTGCAGGCGGTGCTGAAGAGCTTGCCAAAGCGTGCGCAAACGCACACGCACACACACACACACCCATGCACGCACGCACGCAAGCACGCACGCACGCACGCACGCACACACACACACACACAGCAGGACCATCCCCCTGACTGCGCCAGCGCCGCGCCTGGCCGCTGCACGGTTGCTGGCGGCGCGCGCTGCTCGCCCCCGCCGAGCGCGAGAACCGCGGCCAAAGGCGTGAATGAAGAGGGGAGGGGTCATTGCACCGGCCTTGCAGACGTGCTGCAGCGGATTTCTGCGTGGATTTTTGCCCGAAACGGCGAGCGAAAAACGAAGTGAATTTCTCGTGGATCATTTTTGGTCTCCATGCCTGGCCAAAACAAATCCGCACGAAACTCACCTCGAAATCCGGAACAAAATTCTCCAGGACACTCTGGGCCCACCCTATCGTTTTCCGAACGAAATCAGTATGCGATGTTGGCGCCATGGAAGAGGAGGAGAAGGAGGAGGAAAAGGAGGAGGGAAGGAGGCGGAGGAAGAGGAGAAACGGGTATGGGGGAAAGGAAGCAATTGGCGGAGCAACTGAAACCACCCCAGTTGCAACTGAGACCGCCCCCGGTGGCGCCTAGGGGGCCGGGGGGCGGGCGGAGCAACTGAGACGGGTGGGCGGAGCAACTGGGCCAGCAACTGACCCAACTGACCCAACTGACCCAGACTGCCCCACACTGCCCCAGACCGCCCCAACTGCCCCACTGTCCCAGACTGCCCCAGACTGCCCCAGACTGGCCCAGACTGCCCCAGAGTGCCCCAGACTGCCCCAGACTGCCAAGGGGGCCGGGGGGCGGGCGGAGCAACTGAGACGGGTGGGCGGAGCAACTGGGCCAGCAACTGACCCAACTGACCCAACTGACCCAACAACTGACCCAACTGACCCAGACTGCCCCAGACTGCCCCACACTGCCCCAGACTGCCCCAGGCTGCCCCAGAGTGCCCCAACTGGCCCAGACTGCCCCAGACTGCCCCAGACTGCCTCAGACTGCCCCAGACTGCCCCAGACTGCCCCAGACAGGCCCCAGACTGCCCCAGACTGCCCCAGACTGCCCCAGACTGCCAAGGGGGCCGGGGGGCGGGCGGAGCAACTGAAACGGGTGGGCGGAGCAACTGGGCCAGCAACTGACCCAACTGACCCAACTGACCCAGACTGACCCCAGACTGCCCCAGGCTGCCCCATGCGCCAAGAGGGCTTCCGCGAAGGGCCCGAGAGAGGCCCTCCTGGACCCTTGCAGGGAGCAACGCTCCGGTCCCAGCTGCACCCGGGGCCGCGCGTGCCGCGGGGGGCCTCGACGGAGGGCGGGGGGCTCCCAGAGCCTTCCGACGGGCCCAAAGGCGGCCCCAAGACAGGCCCAAGACGTTCGGAGCCTGCCCAGGGCGTTCGGAGGGGCCCAAAGGCGCTCCAAGACAGGCCCAAGAGGGCACCAGGGCAGCTTATAAAAACAGATTGTTTTATAACGTACTCCTGGGCCCTCTTGGGGGCCTCTCGGAGCCCCCTTGGGGGCCTCTGGGAGCCCTCTAGGGGCCCTCTTGGACCCTTCCCAAAAGGTTCGGGGGGGGCTCAAAGGCGCCCCAAGACGAACCCAACAGGGCACCAGGCCAGCTTATAAAAACACCTTGTTTTATAACGTACTCCTGGGCCCTCTTCGGGGCCTCTTGGAGCCCCCCTGGGGGCCTCTGGGAGCCCTCTAGGGGCCCTATTGGACCCTACCCAGGGCCCTCGGAAGGGCCCACAGGTGCCCCAACACGGGCCCAAGTGAGCCCCAGGACAGCTTATAAAAACAGCTTGTTTTATAACGTACTCATGGGCCCTCTTCGGGTCCTCTTGGAGCCCTCTCTGGGGGCCTCTGGGAGCCCTCTAGGGGCCCTCTTGGACCCTTCCCAGGGCCCTCGGAGGGGCCCAGAGGCGCCCCAAGACGGGCCCAAGAGGGCCCCAGGACAGCTTATAAAAACAGCTTGTTTTATAACGTACTCCTGAGCCCTCTTGAGGGCCTCTTGGAGCTCCCTTGGGGGCCTCTGGGAGCTTTCTAGGGGCCCTCTTGGACCCTTCCCAGAGACCTCGGAGGGGCCCAAAGATGGGTCCCCAGATCCCTCCCGGGGTCCAAACGCACCAGTTGTCCGTCGCCGTCACCGCCGCCGTCGTCGTCGTCGTCGTCGTCGTCGTCGTCGTCGTCGTCGTCGTGTCGTCGACGCCGTCGCCGTCGTCGTCGTCGTCGTCGTCGTGGTCGTCGTCGTCGTCGGTCGTCGTCGTGGTCGTCGTAGTGGTCGTCGTCGTCGTGTTTTTTTTTCAGGCCGTAAGGATGCTTACGGCCGGGAAAAACGCGCTCATCATTATCTCCCTCGTAGTCGCCGTCGTCGTCTTGATCGTCGTCGTCGTCGTCGTCGTCGTCGTCGTCGTCGTCGTCTTGATCGTCGTCGTCGTCGTCGTCGCCACTGCCGCCCGCCCGACCCGACCCGTCCCGCCCGTTAGGGCACTCGCGTGCCAAGTCGATGTCGCATCATACTTTAATGTCCTGCCCGACCCGACCCGACCCGCCCGTTAGGGACCGCCCGCCCGACCCGACCCGTCCCGCCCGTTAGGGTCCGCCCGCCCGAACCGACCCGTCCCGCCCGTTAGGGTCTGCCCGCCCGACCCGATCCGTCCCGCCTGTTAGGGTACTCGTGTGCCAACTCGATGATGCATCATACTTTAATGCCCGCCCGACCCGACCCGCCCCGCCCGTTAGGGTCCGCCCGCCCGACCCGACCCGTCCCGCCCGTTAGGGCACTCGCGTGCCAACTCGGTGATGCACCATACTTTAATGTCCCGCCCGACCCGACCCGACCTGCCCGTCAGGGTACTCGCGTGCCAACTCGATGATGCACCATACTTTAATGTCCCGCCCGGCCCGACCCGACCCGCCCGTTAGGGTCCGCCCGCCCGACCCGACCCGACCCGCCCGTTAGGGCACTCGCGTGCCAACTCGGTGACGCACCATACTTTAATGTCCCGCCCGACCCGACCCGACCCGCCCGTTAGGGTCCGCCCGCCCGACCCGACCCGACCCGCCCGTTAGGGTACTCGCGTGCCAACTCGATGATGCATCATACTTTAATGTCCCGCCCGGCCCGACCCGACCCGCCCGTTAGGGGCCCTCTTGGACCCTTCCCATATCCTTCCGAGAGGCCCAGAGGCGCCCCAAGACGGGCCTAAGAGGGCCCCAGGACAGCTTATAAAAACAGCTTGTTTTGTAAGGTACTGCGGGGCCTTCTTGGGGGCCTCTTGGAGCCTTCTTGGGGGCCTCCTGCAGCCCTGTAGGGCCCTCTTGGACCCTTCCCAGGGCGTTCGGAGGGGCCCAAAGGCGCCCCAAGACGGGCCCAAGAGGGCCCCAGGACAGGTTATAAAAACAATCTGTTTTATAACGTACTCCTGGACCCTTTCGGGGGCCTCTTGGAGCCCCCTTGGGGGCCTCTGGGAGCCCTGTAGGGGCCCTCTTGGACTCTTCCCAGGGCGTTCGGGGGGGCTCAAAGGCGCCCCAAGACGGGCCCAAGAGGGCACCAGGCCAGCTTATAAAAAACATATTGTTTTATAATGTACTCCTGGGCCCTCTTCGGGGCCTCTTGGAGCTCTTTGGGGGCCTCTGGGAGCCCTCTAGGGGCCCTCTTGCACCCTTCCCAGGGCCCTCGGAGGGGCCCAGAGGCACCCCAAGACGGGCCCAAGAGGCGCCCCGCGAGGTGCCAGAGGGTAACGTTTCGCCCAAGATGGCGCAAGATTCCTCAAGATGGCCCCGAAGACGCTCCAACAGGGCCCAAGACCGCCCTGAGACGGCTCCAGGAGTCCAAAAAGCTTCCCAAGGAGGCTCAAGAAGCCAAAAACTTTCAAACACCCAAAGAAAATCAATGTTATTTGCGTTCTCGCCCGCTCGCTTCCGATAGCCCTCCTCCACCTCCTCCTCCTCCTCCTCCTCGTCCTCCTCCTCCTCCTCTCCCGTTCCGCTCCTCCGCCTCCTCCCCCTCCTCCACGCCCTTCGCCGCTTGGGTTCTGTTGCGGCAGCTGCAACCACCCCAGGTGCAACTGAGACTGCCCCAGAGGCGCAGGGGGGACGGGGGGCGGGCGGAGCAACTGAGATGGGCGGGCGGAGCAACTGGGCCAACAACTGGCTCAGTTGCTCCGCCGCTCCTCCGCTTGGTGTCAGTTGCTCCGCCGCTTGGTTTCAGTTGCTCCGCGGCCTCGGTCCAGTTGCTCCGCCGAGGTAAGCCATGGGGGAAAGGGAAGAGGGAGGAGGGGGGAAGGAGGAGGAGGAGGAGGAGGAGGAGGAGGAGGAGGAGGAGGAGGAGGAGGAGGCGGAGGAGGAGGGGGGGGGAGGGGGAGGATCCCCCATTGCCTCCCTCCCTCCCTTCACGTTGGCAGAGAAGCGCTCGAAAAGCTCAGCTTGGCACAGAAAACTTCGAAAAGGGACGAAACGTAAGCCGTTACTGACAAAACTGCATCGACATGCTTTCATTGTCCTGCTTGGTTGTGGCAAGGTGATCGCGGACCGTTCGGGGGTCCTCCTGGACCGTGGCCACGCTCGAGCCGAAGGACAGCTGCAAGTTCTTGCCAACCTGCTGCTGGGCGGCGGAGACGAAATCCCCAGGCTTGGGCGATGACCTCGGTTTCGGGAGATTTGGTTTGGAGAGGGGGGGGAGGAGGAGGAGGAGGAGGAGGAGGAGGAGGAGGAGGAGCAGCAGCAGCAGAATAAAGAGGAGGGAAGGAGAGGGCGAACGAGGAAAGGAAGGAGGAGAAGGCGTATGATGATGCTGACGATAATGATGATGATGATGATGATGATGATGATGATGATGATGATGATGATGATGATGATGATGATGATGATGATGATGATGATGATGATGATGATGATGATGATGACGATGACGATGATGATGATGATGATGATGCTGACGATGATGATGATGCTGATGATGCTGATGATGAACATGATGGTGATGATGAACATGATGATGAACATGATGATGGTGCTGATGATGATGCTGATGATGGTGCTGATGATGAGGAGGAGGAGGCGGAGTAGGAGGACAAGAAGGAGGAACAACAAGAAGTAAAAGGAGGAGGCGGAGGTGGAGGAATAGGAGGATGAGGACGAGGCTCGATGAGGAGGAGGAGGCAAAGCGTCAACGAATAACGAACGCTCCCACCTACCTCTGCAGATGCTGCTGCTCTGCTGAGGAATCTTCCCTCTGGTCGGGAAATCAATCGCAATGCGGGCTGCGTTGGCCACCGAGAGGCTCCCGCTGGCTGAAAACGCAGAGCGCTCAGATCCAACGTACCCACGCGCGCAATGGAGGAGACGATGGAGCGAGGGGGGGAGAACCCCGCCAGCCCCCGAGACACGAGAGGAGGAGAGGGGAAAGTCGAGCCAGCCATGCGCTCAACCAGGCCGCGGCATCGTGCTGGAGACTGCCCCCCCCCCTGCCCTCTGGGGCGCACTCCCTGCCCAAAATCCTGGAGTCGAGCATCGGTAGCCCCCCTCCCAGCCTGCTCTCGGCGCCGGCAGCCCGCCGGCCGCCGCGCGGAAAGCTGGACGGTGCACCCGGGTGCCGTGATCGCCTTCGCCCGGCAGCCCGCCAGCAGCGCGTGGACGTCCAGAGACGCGGCCGCGGCAGGCCCGATCCGCCGGCGCTACTCGCGCAGAGGGGCGCGTCGCTGGGCCTCCCGAGCCATCGACGGGCCCATCAGGCAGCCCATCATCTCCGACGCGGCAGCCACGCGGACGGTGTCCAAACCATGGCATGCCGTCTCCAGCAGGCGCTGAACATGCGCGGCGACGTCGGGGCTGAAGACGACAAAGAGGGGCTCGCAGGACGCAAGCGCTCCAGCGGGCGCGTGGCAAGGCCAGCCGGCCTCGCCGGGAGGTGGGATATCCGCCCTCCGGTTCGCGATGCCGCGGATGCCAACCGTCGTCACGCCCACGTCAGCGGTGCGCCACCTGGATGGCCCCCGTCGACGGCGCTCCAGTCGATGCTCGCGCGCAGTGCAGGGCGCCGCTCCGAGCGCGAGCGTCGGGCCCGACACCGGACCGCCTTTCATGAAGGGGCCCCAGGACACACAAACAAATACACACAAATAAAGTATTCCCCATATTTTCCCATATTTTCGGAGTTTCTGTCTTCCACCCCACTTCCCATATTTTCCCACATGTTCTGGGAAACCGAAGATGAATTGCGTCTGTGTGCTTCTTTTCCTCCTGATTTCAGCGCACCGCAGGCGACGGCGACGACGGGGCACGCGCGAGGGTCTGCCGCCCAGCCTGACCGCCTCGCAGCAAAGGGCCGTCACGAGCGATCAGGCCCCGCGAGGAGGCTGCCGCGCCACCGGGCTCCACTCGAGTCAGTCGTGGCAGATGCTGGGGGACGCCTGGGCGTAGGCTTGTGGATGCCACGGCAGTGGACACCCTAACAGTCCTATCATTGAATCTAAACTGTGTTTGAAATGTCGGAGCAGTATTCTAAACAAGTTTCAAGCATGTTTTTACAGGTTTTTTTGTTACATGCTTTAGACATCTGGAAATTACTTGGCAACATGCTTCCTCTCCGTTGATCGCCCTCCACGAGCGTAGGCACAGGTGAAGAGGAAAAGGCAGGACCACTGCGGACACGCGTGGCCCTGGTCGAGGCGACGCGGGCCACGCGGGCGACAGCGACCAGGCTCTCGAGGAAGCTCCCCTCGTGCACCAGGCACTCGCCGGCTCTTGAGAGCCGCCGGCGCGACCGCCTCGCTGATGCAGCGGTTCGCCGCGCCAGCGATGGCCTTGGCCCTGGTGTTAGGTCGGGCCTGTCCCTCTACGGGGGGATTTTGGGCGAAAAATAAAAGATACCCCCCACACGCCGCAAACATATTCAAAAGTGGTCAAACAATCGTCCCCCGACTATTTGTTTAACTATTTTTGAATATTCCTCCTGTAGAAGGACAGGCCCGACGTAAGCCTTGGCCCTGGCGGCCTTCGACACGGCGTGGCCTCGTGCCCGTCGGGTCTCTCCTGACCTCGAGGCCATCGGAGTCTCTGCGCCTTCTTCGGCGGGAACGCCCGCGCGCCGTCGCTGAAATCAGGCAACACGTAGCGACCGCTCGCCCTTGGCGCTCCGTCGCTGCCGCCGGGGCTATCCATCGCGCCGCGAGGGTGCGCCCGCCGCGCCGGCGAAGGCAAGCCATCTGCACAGGGCATGGCGGGCCGCGCGGGCTCGATGGCTCGTTCGATGCACCGCCGCGCAGGCATTAGCCTGGGGAGAGCGCAGCGTTCCAGGATCAGCTTGGCAGCTCTCGCGTGGGAGTGCGCTTTGAAGCAGCAGTGAACTGGACCATTGCCGAGTCGACCGATTTTCGGCGGGCCGAAAACCTTGAGGCAATGGTCGGCCTGCCCGTCTGGGCCCTTCTGCACCGCCTCCGCCTGCATCCCGCCGATCGCCAGCGATGCGAAGAGGCTCCTGCGGGCCAACAGCGCCGACCGAAAACGCCGCGCGCGCAGTTTGCCCTCGGAGCAGTGGATAAGAGCCCCCCGGGATCAGCGTCGAGCCGCTGCTGGAACTCCAAGCTGGCAAGAGTGGCATCGCGCCGCCCGGCCGAAAAGCAGCGCCGCTGAAACCCCGAGACGCCCCTCGGGCGGGCGCAGCAGGACCTGGCCAGGAGCCGCGGGCCCCTCGACCCGTGCGTGCCCGGCGAACAGCAGCAGCAGCAGCAGCAGCAGCAGCAGCAGCAGCAGCAGCAGCAGCAGCAGCAGCCCTGCCGCTCGCTCGCGCCGCCGCGCCCGCCGCCCGTCGACGCCAAGGGGGCGTCCGAGCTTTTCTGTCGCAGCCGCAGGCGAGGGCGCCAGCGGCGAGTCAGGTCCGACCGGGCCGCGCAAGAGCCGAATTGCCCAACGCCGACGGGCCGGCGACCTGGGGCGTCCGAGCGCTGAGACCACGCATTTCGCGGGCGGCCGCCCGCGGGATCCCGGCGCAGCTGCGGCGCCCACGCGGGGCCGACACGGGCGTGCGCCCCCGCGGGCCTCCGCGCGCCGCGGCACGCGCCGCGCGTTCCTCCCAGCCGCTCGACGGGGCCGGGCGGGAAGCGATGGGAGGGGCATGCCCGTCGGGACCCCGTGGGTCAGCAGCACGGGGGCCTGCGCGTGGCCCCGTGCTTCGGGCGAAGCACTGATGCCCAGCCGGCGAAACTCCCGCCCCCCCCCGCTCACGGGGCGCTGCAACAGTCCGCGCGGCCAGCGCCGACGACGCACCTCTCCCCTACAGGGGGGAGCACCCCTCCCATGGCGAAGCTTTCGGCTCCAGGGCGTCAGCGTCGGAGTCGTCGTCGTCGTCGTCGTCATCGTCCACGACGACCATCCAAGGAGTACCGCGCCGATCCACGAAGCGCTGGCGCAGACCGGCGGACCGGCAGGCTGCCCGCGGCGTCCGCCAGCCTCCGCAGGTGTGCCGGGGCTGCCGCGCGCCGCCGCTGTCCGCGGGAATGGGCAGCCACGGGAAGGGAGTGCAATGCTCAGCTTGCCGTCGCTCGGGCGTCCATTTCCCGTGCATTTTTCGGTCTCGTGCGTGTTCTCTTTTGCTCGATGGTCCAGGATGGTCCTCGATGGTTGTCGCCGAAGAAAAAAAACACACACACAAGTCCGAGCGATGCCAGGGCCGAGGCTGCTGCGCCCGCCACTGTCCGCGGGAATGGGCAGCCACGGGAAGGGAGTGCAGTGCTCAGGGGATTCCAGCGCTGAAGTCGCGAACCACAGGAGAGCCTCTCTTCAAATTCTTCGCGGCGGCGGCGGTTCCCAGTCCGGCCGCCCCCCCCCCCAGGAGCTAGCGTTGCAAGTCGTGCTGGCGTCCGAACTGTCTTGACTATTCTTGCGACCGTTCCCAGACGGCGCCGACGCGAAACGCGACGTTACTGGCCCCGCCCCGCCCAGCAACCCCCGCTGTCGCCCGGGAGTGCATAACAACAACAACAACAACAACAACAACAACAACAACAACAACAACAACAACAACAACAACAACAACAACAACAACAACAACAACAACAACAACAACAACAACAATTACTAGCACGTGGGGACACTCCGTTCTCACCAGTGCCAGGGTTTTCATAGGAGGCGGGCAATACCCCCACTTTGTGGGGGGGCCGGTTCAAGCTCTACCAAATTTCCAAACGACTCTTCGCCACCACCCACACCCAGCTTCCCGCCCTATGACGTTCGGACACTTCACTTCGTGGCATGCGGACGACCGTGGCTACTATTCAGGGCCCCGCGGCCGACGACGACGGCGTGCGCGCGCGAAGAAAAAACGAATGTGTCCCGCATGGTATTATTTGACAGGGATGATGGCCCTGGCAGGTGCGCAACCGTTGTTGCAGAAGTTCGAAAAAGTTGCTCGCAAAAGCCCGTTTGACAGAAATGATTAAAAAGTGTTGGGTTTCCTACGAATCCGCAAGAGCGCGCGGAATGAAATTTTGACATTTTTTTTTTGAGAAACCATTGTTGTTTTGATGTTTTTATGTTAAAATCGCTACGAAAACTAAGGTTTTGGAAGGATTTCGTCTTGCGCGCGCGAATGTCCACTTTACCTTGGGGGTCGCGCACCAGGGGCCCCAACAATAATTATTCTTTA